AGTTAAATGCCTGGCCTTTCTTGACATTCGCATCTCCTCTGTGACCCAAGGGCACTCTTGATAATGTGGCCTAGTGGCTAACGTGTGTAAATCGTACGCTGCAGTTTCATGGTTCGACTCACATATAGGGTGTTGATAAGACCTATGCGATGTCGAAACTGCAGTTCACCCTGGATGAGAACGATTTTGGGGAAAACAAAGCTCTGTGAAATTCAATGGAAACGTCAGCTCTACTCATTTTATTGTGGGAAAATTCTACTACCAATTCTTCATCACTTTAAATGAAATAGTGTGAACACAACTTACCTTACTGCGACCATACCGAGGGCCACAGCTTATTAGTATTCATATCTTTGATTACGTTGAGTTTATTTGATCTTCTGACAAAAAAGATAGTTTTCTGGGAAAAATGAAGTTTATATTTGGTTTGAGTACACTTTGGAACTTCCGGTAAAGCTTGAATAAGAATACGCTTTTCCATGATTTACGGTACATTACGGTACCCTAACCAAGATTTTAGGGACTTCAACCCAATCAGTTAAGAAAGACCGGTTCTTTCTAGTTTATGGTCTATCAAGGTGGCAAGCTTCCAGGCACTCCTAGACTCAAGCAGAGGGCAGCACTGACGGCTTTTGTATAAAATGTAATTTAAAGTAATTATAAAATATTTTAATCTTTGAAATCGACATCCTTGGGCTTGTTTATCTGGTTTAAAACTCCAGTAAACAGGCCGATTTAGAATGGGGTGAAATTTTGGATGCAAATAGCTGCTGCATTTATGAAGTGCAGCTGAGTTTTGATGACCCCTTGAGATAAAAATGTTTTGACGATTCTTATTTCACATGAAAGAACCTGGTGAAGGAATTTAAAGGTCGATTTCACCAGAAGACGAGGCCTAATTGCCATCGTTCTGCATTGGTTAGAGGTTACTATGACGTTCACATTGGCCTAGTCAACGAGGCATCCTTCGGTTTAGGTTAAGATGGGCTGAACTTTTGTTTTTCATATGACGTGCTATAATTACTAAGAGCTAAAGCCAACTCAAAATATTTAGGTAGATATGTAATGACTTCATTAATCCTCTCCACATTATTCAAAGTCCTTTTATGTGTTAGTAAAAAGTTGGTTTCGAATTTCTGATTATGTTTGTGCTTGCATGGTTGCGTCTTAATTTTTGAAGTCAGGGTACAAACCATTATGTATTACTCTGTAAATTTAGCATCATTCCAGTGTGATTACGGCTTGGCGACTCAAAATAAAGTATGCTTGTCTTACGTCTGATTGAGGTGCCTAGCAGGCGTGTATAATGAGTAGGAATGTGATTACATATTTCCTACCAAACTTTCATTCCATAGCCTTCAGTAACCTCTCTTATGCTAGGCTCGGCACTAGACCTACTACACTAAGCAAACGAATATGCTTTACACGCTTCTATATCGTGTCTTGTGCTCAGTAAAATCAAACGAAAATCGGTGAGATCGAAATTTGAGTCCCTTTATCGGGCTCTTTGACATGAAATAAAGTTCTTTAAACAACTCAGTTCTAGGAAAAAATGTTTATCTCACTTCTCTCTCCGAATTGCGAACCTGCTCCAGAGCATGTTTGGTGAGTCGCAAGTCTTCCGAGAGATTGCGGACCATCTCTTCTGAGCGCAATTTGGTTTCGCGACTTTCCGATCCGAAGACCTGCGCTTCCGCGATCAGATCGGCCATTTTGCTCGCCTGCCGTTGGCGAATACGTTCTAAATGTTCCACGGTCTGCTCGAGCTCGCAACACTTTGAAAGTGTTTGAGAGACGCTGTTCTGAAACCAATACACAAATATACTATGATTCGTAAATCACCAAAAACGAATATATCTCGGGCTGGATAAAGCGTATACCAAAAAATGAAGCAAAACATAACAATTCGCAACATCTTTCTGAAGTTGAGTCTATCAAAGTCCGAAGTCTCTAGGTCATTTATTATTTTAGTCCCAATTGGTGATATCATAGCAAACTTAAAATGGCTCATCCCTTGAAGGGTACGAATTAAAATCGTCGACAAAATTGTTGCTTGAGTTGTTTGTGTTGCAGCCTCGCTTAGGGACGAACGAGTGGTAGCAGGAAATTGTGCTTCCCTTTCTTTCAGCTCCTACAATTTGACTGTAGAGGCAATTAAAAAAGAATTTGACTCCCTGAGTGTAACTTCAGACAGAGCCCGTCGCAAGCAGCCCCGTTTGTTAGTGAACTAAATCAAGAAAGTATACAAGTCCCGCGGATTCTGCCGTTAGACATGGGCACGGCCGAAAGTGCAGTCTAATTTCAGTTATAAGTACTATCTTGTAGTGCATTAAGCAAGCAATGTAATCCTTCTCTTCAACTCGCCAACTTTCATTTCGTATGAAAGTGCAGGAGAGATTGGAAGGTCAATCTCACCAGAAGACGACGACTTGTTCCCGTGGTACAGCAACCGTTTAGCTTTAATAGTGTGTTCAGTTTTGACACAATCCATTGGATCTGCTCACTAGTTTCAGATGAAAACGTGCTAACCTTTCGTCTGGCATATGACGGACATCATTAGAGTTGGAACTCATTCTTTGAGAAGTCTCAAGTTGTCACTAAATCAAGAAAACTGAACTGCTCTATCTTACGTCTTATACATACTCATAACTAGGAAACGACAATGCATAATTTTAGATGGATATAGCATGACTAGCCTACTTTATCTTTCATGTTGGTCATACTACTTTTACATGGGTAACGAATATAAAAAGGAATCAGACATCCATCTGTCTGTACATTTTAGCCCTTAGTTGTGGGTATATATGAGAGGTAATCTAGAGCTTAACAGTCTTCTTGACCCGATGCTAACTTGAAACTTTGAAAATAATAAGTTCCAGCTTTAATGACGTCCATCTATGATGGACGAAAGCTCAGTCCATTTCCATGTGAAACGAGGGAGGATGTCTGGTGGACTGCATCAACCTGAACGTCATATTAAGGCCAAGCGGCTGCAGTACAACACAAATTAGCCGTCATTTTCTTCATGCAACTTCGTAAAAAGTCAAAGTCTCGCCAACAATGTTATCTCAGAAGATGCATCTAAACCCAGTTATTCTCCATACCCACAAGAGTGTTTTTTACGTACAGATTTTTATCATACAGAGTATGCTCGGTTAAACCAGTGAGTATCACCTTCCCTGCAAGCTCTCAGGGAATGATGCAATGCGTCCTCATGCCAAGTTGCATCGTTCAGCTATGCCCGAGGGCAGCCATGTTGTGACTAATGATGTTGCCTCTTGTCTGACCCTTAGTGCCTAAACCAATAGGTACTGGCGCTTCAGATTAGCAACAACAGAAGACTGCTGGCTGGACACGTATATCTGAGCAATGCAGGAAGTTGGGTCTGGAGTTGGGCCGACTTGGAGGCATGAGTCAATCCAGTCTAGCTGCAAACATTACGTATCCATTTGATGTGGATACCTTTTTCTAGGCAATTAGCAAATCTGAAATCGCTTAGGGTTATTCTAAGATTTATATAATCTTTTTTTCATTATGAAGTGTGTAGGATTCACACCCAATGAATTTCACTTAGCCTTGCCTGTCTAAAGTTCTTCCGGTTCAGGATGAATTGTGGTTTCAACCTCGTCCAGTTCTCATCCACAACCCTGTTGAAAGCATAAAACTGAAAAGGCTTAATTAAATCTACCGACATCGTAAGGTCTACTCGTATGATTGTAGGAAACTACAAATATCAATCCTTATTTCGTCTTAAATGACTTAAGCCAACTCAAGTGCTTATTCAATATTTTGTGCCGGTCAGCAATCTATAGGAAAGCTCATAATGCACCATTATGGGGGCTAAACCTCTGAAGGAAAAGTCGACCGTGGTTCATGACAGTAAATAAGACACGGATGCTTCCTTCCTCGACTTACATCACCCACTTCGGATAACTGGATTGCTTTTGAACTCAGCCCAATCGCATTCGATGGCGTCTTTCTGTACAATCTATGACCCACCTCTCAGACTCTCAAAATCCTGGTGTTAGCATCATGCCAGCTTTCGAAAAAGATAAGTGAACTACTGAGAAAGTGAGATATCAGAACAATTTATAAAGAGAAAAAAACATTTTCCTCAGTAATGCCATCTTTCGGGAAATTTCGGAGCCCCTTGCCAAATCTGGCTGCTAAAAGGTCTTGTGTGCATTTGGTAGCGTCTATGTGGGAGAGACCTGTCGACCCATACAGATGAGGTCACCTGAACATAAAACAGCATGCAAAGGTTTGTGGGTCCAAAGGTCAGAACTGGCCAATCACAGAACATACAAGACACCAGAGAGACTGGTCTAGTGAAAATGCTTAGCTGGACATGGGGACTATACCAGTCAGCGTAAGATTAGGAAATCTAGACAAATCAACAAAACAGCCAACACTCTAAATAGAAGGAACGAGTGCAGGAAATTAAGTGGAAACTATTTGTGGCTGTTGAATGTGGTTAGAGAGAGAGAGAGAGGGGGGGGGTAACAAAGAGTACCGCCGAGCAAGAGGAGGCTTGATTGGCCTAAAATGTGGTTTTCCATCTCAAGCCCCACACGTCTCACGAGCATTGTATGCACATTCCAACATGCAACGGAACGCAATCACATGCGGAACCATTGCAGGATCAAACGAAAAAAGGTTAAGTGTTGTATGAGTGGAGGCAGCCACTTCAGAGTTCATCCACAGCCACTTCACTTGTCAACAGCATGTAGGAAATGCATAGGATCTCCAACCAAATCATGACATGTCTGACTAGGTGTGCCTAGCCAAACTATATAAAGTAGGCAGGATTGCAGCCGGCCTTATTTCTTGTCTTTGTGCCTGATGAATTATCGTAAAGCATGCTCTGGCGATTCTCTTCACACAACGGACGAAAGCTCACAAGGATTCTTCGGGCTGGCAGGGCGGTGTATCGAGGCGATCCTCCTACAGCTTCCGGCGATACCAAATTACGAAATGTCGAGCTTACTTCCATTTCAAGTGAAATGGGGAGATAGACGTCACCAAACCTTGATGGCCAAAAACAGACGTTCCTTTTTGCTGTCCTAATTACTTTGACCCATTACTGCGCGTTTCGTGCATAAGCGAACACAAACAGACACATACGCATACAAAGACAGTCACACTCACAGGCATCGAAGTTAACATATGACCGTAACTAACCAAATCACTTTACACTTGATCAAAGAGGCCAGATGTAGAGTATAGATACCACTTTTTAGGGATTCTCCGGTGAGTATTCTTGACTCGTTAGCTTGAATTTGGTTGTGACGATGTTACCTTGCTCTGATGTCCATCATATGACGGACGAAAGCTTAGCATCTTTTCACCGGAATCGAAGGAGATTGCCTCGGAAACAGCGTCAGCAAGAATCTTCCAGTAAAGCCAATCGACAGCTGGTCAAGAGGGATAATCCGTCGTCTTCTGGTGGAACCGACCTTCGAATCTTTTCACCACCACTTTCACTCGAAATGGAAGTAAGCTCAACAATTATGAAACAAGAGATTCCTCGAAACCTAACTTTTCTTCATATTTATTTGCACAGCTCACCTACTCGAAATGGAAGTAATCCCAACAACTATGAAACAAGAGATTCCTCGAAACCCAACTTTTCTTCATAGACTCGAAATGGAAGTAAGCTCAACAATTATGAAACAAGAGATTCCTCGAAACCCAACTTTTCTTCGCATAGTTGTAGTATCACCAAGAAGGCCGGCTCGGCGCTGCAATAAGGCCTTGTTGCGACACTTTTCTGCAATAACATATGGCAGAGAATGAAGAGAACGCAGAACGGTGCAAATTATTCAGATTCGTCCTGTTAATACGGTCAAGCTAAGAAAACGAGGTCTGGTCAGCATAATAATCCAAATGGGTAGGACTTTTTGACTACCGGTGGATCCTGAATAAGAGCTTTAGTCGCTCTAAGTTTCCTAGAATGATAAAGGACTGATAGACAACTTTTCCGTAATGGGATGAGTTGGGAAATTGACCACCAGTCTTTCATCACCTTAAGAGACTTATGGTGACTAGAGCTCTTATTGAAGGTCTATTGATAGTCCCAAAATCCAAATCAATTTCAACAAAACCAGCGTTGTCAACTGTAATGGTAAATGCATGTTTTCTTCTCCGACAATCCCACACTAAACAATGGGA